TCTCCATGTCTCTTCTTCATCAACATGTGTCCCCTCTTCTCCATGTCTCTTCTACATCAACATGTGTCCCCTCTTCTTCATGTCTCTTCTACATCAACATGTGTCCCCTCTTCTTCATGTCTCTTCTACATCAACATGTGTCCCTTCTTCTTCATGTCTCTTCTACATCAACATGTGTCCCCTCTTCTCCATGTCTCTTCTACATCAACATGTGTCCCCTCTTCTCCATGTCTCTTCTACATCAACATGTGTCCCCTCTTCTCCATGTCTCTTCTACATCAACATGTGTCCCCTCTTCTTCATGTCTCTTCTACATCAACATGTGTCCCCTCTTCTTCATGTCTCTTCTACATCAACATGTGTCCCCTCTTCTTCATGTCTCTTCTACATCAACATGTGTCCCCTTCTTCATGTCTCTTCTACATCAACATGTGTCCCCTCTTCTTCATCAAGATATGTCCCCTCTGTGGAAAGAGACTCTGAAAGTTTCAGGAACAAAGAGGCGCTCCTTATTTTCATCTAAAGTAACAGACAGAGAATCAGCACTTTGGAAACACGGCTGAAACAGAGGGGATTATTGAAGATTGAAGATTCAACTTATTGTCATTACACATACAGGTGCTATGTAACGAAACGGTTTCTCTGCATTTGACCCATCCTAGTGTTAGGAGCAGTGGGCTGCCATTATGTACGGCGCCGTGTAGGGAACGGTGCCTTGCTCAGGGACACCTCGGTAGCACTTGGTCTTTCCGGGACTTGAACTGGTGACCTTCCAGTTGCCAAGCCAAGTCCCTATGGACTTCGCCACCACCGCCCTGTATGGGTAATGCTGCAATGATCTGTTTGGTGTTTCAGCCAATCAGAGACAGGCTCTGTATATATCTGAGACCTGTGATATATTGATGAAGAAGAGGATGATAGGAGACATTTAATGAACGCATTGCTCTGGTGTGGTTGCAGGATCATGGGGAAGCAGAACAGCAAGCTGACTCCGGAGGTGATGGAGGACCTGGTGAAGAACACGGAGTTCAACGAGCACGAGCTGAAGCAGTGGTACAAAGGCTTCCTGAAGGACTGTCCCACCGGCCGGCTGAACCTCGACGAGTTCCAGCAGCTCTACGTCAAGGTGGGTCACCCATTAGTCTATTTATATATCCAGTCATTGATTCAGTTAGTCAGTGAATCATCCACTCAGTCATGTATTCATCCATCGATCCTTCCATCCAGTCAAAGGATTTCCTGAGAAACTGCCCCAACAACAGGCACACTTTGACTGAAACCAGTTGTTCTACGTCAAGATTCAAGGCTTTTATCGTCATTCGTACATAGCTACAGTGTAGTTATGACAGTGAAAATCTTATGTCACAGGCTGCTCCAACAGTGCAACACAATACAACAGATAAAAGGTGGATCATTTATCCATTCATTCATTTTTCCATTCAGTCATTCATACTAAGTGTAAGGGAAACTTCTGCAGCAATGGAGAGTCAGGACTCAGAGAGACACGAGGAGAGTTGGAGCTTTGATGTCAAACACTGGTGGTTTATTACAAGTATCGGCCGGAGAATTTCACATCACAAGTCACAGCAGCCAGAGGTTCTGACTGCACGGGTGGGTTGCCACATCAATTCTGGATAGCCTCTCTCTCGATAGACCTTTTAACTAGTTTACAGAGAGTTAATCAACATGGAGCACTGGAGATAGCCCCAACATCTGGAGACACTGAATCACCTGTCTGTGGTGCTTAGAAGCCAGCGTTCTCGCAGTCATAAAACCCTCTGTGACCGATAGTTGCCCGGTCATAAAACTGGTATAGCTGAAGCCTCCCATTCCTTAAGACAGATAACAGACTCAGGGTCATAAAACATCAACACACAGAAAAGGTTAGACTCTTAGGAGTAAGGACAGAAATATTCTCTAACACAAAGATTCCTGAAGGACTGAACCACCATCAGGTTGAACCTTGACTAGTTCCAGCAGATCTACGTCAAGGTGGGTCATCCATTCATATGTTTATTAAACCACCCATCCATCCAGTCAAAGGCTTCTTGAGAAACTGCCCCAACAACAGGCAAAATTTGACTGGTTCCAGTTGTTCTACGTCAAGGTGGGTCACCCGTCCATTTATCCTTCCATCTATCCATTAAACAATTCAGTCCCATCTATCCATCCATCCATATGGCAGAACTTTGAGTTCCAGTAATCTGGTTGAGAAATGTAAAACATGTCCCTCCTACCTTCGCAGTTCTTCCCGTACGGCGACGCCTCAAAGTTCGCCCAGCACGCCTTCAGGACCTTCGATAAGAACGGAGACGGGACCATCGACTTCAGAGAGTTCATCTGCGCTCTGTCCATCACGTCCCGCGGCAGCTTCGAGCAGAAACTCAACTGGGCCTTCAACATGTACGACCTGGACGGAGACGGCAAGATCACCCGGGTGGAGATGCTGGAGATCATCGAGGTGAGGGGGGGGGGTAAACTTATCAGGGGACCAATAACAGAACCCTGCACACCTGCTTTGAATGGAGACACAGATTCGTTACCGTAGAATACAACCTCTACGAAAAAGCCTTTTAAATATAAAAACTGAAGTTATGCCGCAGTGTTTTCTGTCTTTGTTGAGACTTCGGCTCAATCTTCATTCTAAGTGCCCTTATAAAGGCATGAACTTGAAGCCTGTTCTGCATACTACATACTATATAACGTGGGTATATTTAGGAGTGTGTGCTCAATCCTGCAGGTACATCTCCTACCTATAAACCCAACCAGATTAAGTGCTTCTGCATGAGCTAGCTTAAACAGAGCAGAATATAATACTCAGCAGGGTCAGTCAAAGAGCTGTCTCCTTCAAAGGTCCAGAATGCATCATCAGCTTTTTTTCCTCATCAGTTATGTTTGGTGTTCATAGTGAAATATCTAAATCCTCCCCCCAATGCTGGATGAAATAACCCTCCTTTCCTTGTGTTAATTTCTCCAACAGGCAATCTACAAGATGGTGGGCACGGTGATCATGATGAAGATGAACGAGGACGGCCTGACACCGCAGCAGAGGGTGGACAAGATCTTCGGAAAGATGGATAAAAACAACGACGACCAGATCTCGTTGGACGAGTTCAAGGAGGCGGCGAAGAGCGACCCGTCCATCGTTCTTCTGCTGCAGTGTGACATGCAGAAGTGAGACCTCCATCTTCACCCATTCACACTCTTCTCCTTCCCCTCCCTCTGTAAACACACTCTCTGGACTGCAGCACATGTTTTAATGTCTTTAGGTTCTCTGCCATCCCCACAGGAAAACATACAAAAAACAATGCTTGGACTACTTTTCAATGGACTCGCTTCTTGTGGTTGTATGCATGAGAATGTCAAAGCTGAATCATTTTGAATATAGCTATAAAGATATCATACGTTTCTATCTCCAAACCCGTGATTTGTGCACAGTAAAACCCCTCAAACATGTAGCTTGTAAATGAGTGGAGCACTGCGTGATGTTCCTGCAGTGTTTAGGAAAACCCCAGTGTTCACCGCTGCTGCCGCTGTACGCTTTACATTATACTAACTAAACAATAACTCCTATGATAATTGTAACTGTCTCTACTATCCAGACGTGGAGAATAGAGAGGCTGTTTTCACACGGTGGAACCAGGAAGAGTAGGTTCTTTGCATGCATATAATATGTGTCAGAAAAATATGAATCTCTTACCTTTTGCATCTTTAGGTGGTTATAAAAGAGAAACCCTATGGATTCATTTAGTATTGTTGCATGGGATGTACAGTATGTGACCATCACAGCGTTTGTTCACCTCCAGTAACGTGGGAGCACGCTTTCTCCATCCGGAAACACCTGTACGTGTTCAGTTTACGGAAGGATTGCAGATGTGGGTTAAGAGTTTCACATTAAAACACACACACAGAGGGATTACTGAGCGGGGTCTCCCGGGCACAGAAAGCAGGGGCAACTCTCAAATATGACCTCAAACAGACGGAAATCGACCACAAAGAGACATTAACAGAAACAATTGACTGCTTACAGATGTGAAGTGACTACAAAAAGAGTAAAACGACAAGAAAGAGACACAAATCAACTAAAAAGAGACATACAATTATTACAACCATACAACGAATGACAACAAAGGGACAAAGCTACTGCAAGCAGATGCAAAATGACCAGAAAAGCGACTCAACTAGAAAGTGACACAAACGACTGCAAAGAGACGTAAAACAACTACAGCAAAACCAAAATGACTTGAAAAATAAACTAAATTATTGCAAAGATAATATGAATGACTACAAATAGACAAAGCTACTAAAAGAGATTCACAAGATGACTTCAAAGAGAGACCCACAGACTACAAAGAGAGACCCACAGACTACAAAGAGAGACCCACAGACTACGAAGAGAGACAAAATGACTTCAAAGAGAGACCCACAGACTACAAAGAGAGACAAAATGACTTCAAAGAGAGACCCACAGACTTCAAAGAGAGACCCACAGACTTCAAAGAGAGACCCACAGACTACAAAGAGAGACCCACAGACTTCAAAGAGAGACCCACAGACTTCAAAGAGACTCACAATGACTACAAAGAGACTCACAATGACTACAAAGAGACTCACAATGACTACAAAGAGACTCAAAGTGACTACAAAGAGACTCACAATGACTACAAAGAGACTCACAGTGACTACAAAGAGACTCACAATGACTACAAAGAGACTCACAATGACTACAAAGAGACTTAAAGTGACTACAAAGAGACTCACAATGACTACAAAGAGACTTAAAGTGACTACAAAGAGACTCACGATGACTACAAAGAGACTCACAGTGACTACAAAGAGACTCACAATGACTACAAAGAGACTCACAATGACTACAAAGAGACTTAAAGTGACTACAAAGAGACTCACAGTGACTACAGAGAGACTCACAATGACTACAAAGAGACTTAAAGTGACTACAAAGAGACTCACAATGACTACAAAGAGACTCACAATGACTACAAAGAGACTTAAAGTGACTACAAAGAGACTCACAGTGACTCCAGAGAGACTCACAATGACTACAAAGAGACTCAAAGTGACTACAAAGAGACTCACAATGACTA